GAGCATCCTTGATCATGGCGAAAAAACCACGCACGAAACCAAAAAAAAAAACACAGGGAATGGCCGTCTCAGCGATGGCCAGTGGATGCGCTTAGCACTTCTGGTCCGAAGGGAGGCTCGGAGGAGAACCGCTGCACGCGCTGCCGAAGAGTTTTTCGCTCCTCGGGAGGAGTCCGGGGTCGCCGCAGAGGAGCAGCGCGTGGCGACCACAGACCCTGGCGCGCACGCCGTGGCCTACCGCGGCCTGGTGCACACGTACAACGCCGGCTCCCGGCGGGAGGTTCGCGCGGTGCGCGGCATCTCCCTCGCCGTGGGGCGTGGCGACGGGCACCACCCAAGCCCAGACCCCCTCGCGCTGCGGCAAGATCACAGCGGGCGGTTTTTGTGGCACTAGTTTCGGCTTCGGGGGCCTCTCCCGGGCCCCGAGTCCGTCAAAGAACGAGTCGATCGGGATGAGAAGCCGGTCCCAGGGAAGGGACCCAGACCCAGAGATCCGATGTCGTGATTTTTTCCATGCGCGGTCCCCAGAAGTTTTGACCCACTCCCCAGGACCGGTTTTCATCCTGAGTCGTTTTTTGACGGTCCCGAGGCCCGGCGAGGGCCCCTGGGGGCTGAATTTTTAGAAAAACAGCCGTTTTGATGGTTTCAATGCGCTGGATCTCTGGGGACCTCGGGGGGTCGACGTAGTGACAAAAATCACGACGTCGGGGGTCTGGCAGCGTACTTCTGTGACGTGTGCGCAGGCCCCGCTGGGGCGACGAGCGCGTTCAGAGAACTCTTCCGGTCTGTATGCTCGGTGGTGGGCGCTTTCTGGCGGTACCCGCCTGGGGAGCGCTGCGCTATCAGACGCTTGTGCTCTGTGTTCGGGGCGGATGTGCGCCTCCAAGGGGGGCGCGCATGGTGCTGGTTCGAAGAAGGTTACCAGCCTGGAACATATCCCTATCCCTATGCTGGGCACCTCCTCATCACGATGCCAATCTTAGGGATTCCCTTAGTTTTCCAGGGCGGATCCCTAAGATTGTCATCGCCTTTTGGCGCGTCAATCTTAGGGATAGGGATACGTTCGAGGCTGGTAAGAAGGAACAACGCCATACGCATAAACTTTTGGCGCTCCGCGCGGATTTCCTGGCTCTGCGCTGGGCTTCCCTGGCGGCGCCTCCGGCCCTGGCGCGCGCGCCGCGCGCCAGGGACGCGGGTTCAGCGCAGGTCCGAGGAATCCACGCGGAGCGCGACACAAGTTTATATGTTTGTGCCGTTTTGGGTGCTCTGTGCTCCCAGTGATCCGATGCCGTGACTTTTTCGGCACGCGGCCTCCGGAGTCTGGACCCATTCCCCAGGACCGGTTTTTTTTCATCCTGGGTCGCTATTTGACGGTCCCGATCGCCCGGCGAGGGCCCCTATACGGGCCGACAGCTGGGAAAAACCTCGGTCCTCACTTCTTCAATGCGCTGGATCTCTGGGCTGGTAGGATCTCTGGGCTGGTAGGTCCTTCTGCGTCCCAGGCGAGTGCTTCACCCTGCTGGGCCCGAATGGCGCGGGCAAGACGACCACCCTGGACGCGCTCACGGGGGCCATCTGCCCGCCCACGGCCGGCGAGGTGAGCATCGGCGGCCACAGCCTCGCGGCGGGCCCCGGGAGCAGGCTGCAGGCCCTGAGCAGCCTGGGCAACTGCCCCCAGGTGAGCCATGGCAGAAACCCAGACCTCCTCGCGCTGCGACGAAGATCACGACGGGAGGTTTCTCTCGCTATGTTCGGCCTCCCAGGGCCCGTACTGGGCCTCGGGACTTTCGAAAAACGACTCGGGATGAACAGCAAGTCCCAGGATAGGGGTCCAGACGGGTCGACGTTGTGACAAAAACACGACGTTGGGGGTCTGGGAACGGGCTCGACTGCAGGGAGATCTGGGCGGTTCGCAGAAGAAAAAACGCCATACACATACTTTTGGCCGCGCGCCAGGGAGAGGGTTCCAGCGCGGATCGGAGAAATCCGCGCGGAGCACCAACAGTTTATGGTGGGAGATCTGGGCGGTGCCGCCCTGTCACGCCAGGCGTTGTCGCCTGGCTTTGGGCCCTCACATATCGATCCAGGTCGAAAGATGGCGCAGGGAGATGGGTCTGGGACTGCGGTGTCGTGTTTCTAGCGATGTTGCAATGGTGTCGCAAGGTCGGATCCCAGGGCGCGCGGACATTCGCGCGCACGCTGCCTGGGTATAGGCCGCGCGTATGCCCTCGGTTCCACACCAGCGTGCCACGCTGGCGGCTGGCATCAGCAGGTCCCCCGCGTGGCCCAGTCCGGGGCGGTCTCAGCACCCCCCACCCCGGGGCGTGGAGCGCCGGGGGCGCTGCCGGAGGCGGCGCCAGTTTTGAGACCGCCCTGGACCACTCGGGGGGCCCGCTGGGGCCAGCTGGGACTTTCCTGAGGGGGCTGCCTGTGCGCAACCCGGAGCCTCACCAGGGTGTGCAGCTGACACTTCTGCGGGCCCCCGCCAGGGGAGCCGCCCTCGCTTTTCTTGTCCGCCGCCTCCCGCTGGCCTTCCTTTTTTTGCGCGCACTACTCCCTCTTGTCGCTGGAAGTTACGTGGTGGGCCTCATCGAAACAACTCTACCGAAACGGTCGCTTCGGCGCGATCCAACGTCTGCCAGATCGGGACCCCAGGAGGCGCAGGTAGACTTCCGCCGAGGAAGCGGTGCCAACTCCTCCGGGCCCTCGAAGGCGGCGCTCGCGGCGAGGCCCTCCCCGGCGCGCCCCAGGTGGACCCCCTCTGGCCCTCGCTGACCGGCCGGCAGCACCTGCTCTTCTACGCGAGGGTCAAGGGCCTGCCCGCCCACCTCCGGGCCCCGCAGGCGGACGCGCTGCTCCGGGCCCTCGGCTTCTCGGCCTTCGACGCGGACAAGTGCACGCAGGGCTACAGCGGCGGCATGAAGCGGAAGCTTTCGCTGGCCATCGCGCTCATCGGCTCCCCGCCGACGCTTCTGCTGGACGAGCCCTCCGCCGCGGTCGACGCGGCCGCGAAGCGCCACCTCTGGAGGGTGGTGCAGCAGGAGACTGTTTTTCAGGGTCCGGCGGTACACGGGGTTAGCGGGCCCGCGCCCCCCCCTCCCCCCACGGATAACCTGGCCTTGTCGATCGCGCAGGTTCGAAAGGGGTACGCGGTGCTGGTGTGCGCGGGCAAACGCGGGGCTGCCCAGCGCGAAAAGGTTAGTCTATCGGCTTTCTCCTCCCCCCCTCCCCTCCCACTGGATAACTTGGGTGATCGCCCAAAACATGTGGCACGCAGCCTGCCCTGGCTCTTGCACGGGGGAGGACAGAGGGCAGGCGAGGTGGGATGTCGAGGCGGGAGGGGTCTTGGGGCCTTCATGCTGTTCTCCCGGGGCCATCATGGCCATTGTGAGGAGGCAGGGGCAGGGGGGGCAGGGGGGGTGCGACGAGTGAACGAACGAACGACGACGAACATAAAGCGTTCCGAGCTCCAGAACAAAACACAGCTGTGCAAGAGAGAAACAACGGACGGTCGCTGGCGGTGGCTCGCAGCCAGCTGGCGCCGTTACGACAGGCAGCGCGCCCCGCCTACTTCACGTCAAGCTTGCGTGCTTGGCTCACGGAGCTTAGCCGCGTGGTGGCTGCCATCAGCTGTGAAGCGTTCGCTGCCACCGCTGCGAAAAAGCCACGATCTGCAGCGCGAGCGGAGCCAGACCGTCATCCTGACGACCCACTCCATGGAGGAGGCCGAGGCCCTCAGCGACCGCCTGGCCATCCAGGCTCGCCTCCTCCTCCTCCTCCTCCACCTCCTCCTCGTCCTCCTCCCCCTCCTCCTCCTCCTCCTCCTCCTGCTCCTCCTCCTCCTCCTCCTCCGCCTCCTCCTCGCCTCCGCCGGCCCGGCGGGGAGCGGGCCCCCAGAGCAGGAGGCTCGTGTGTCGTGTCGATCGGCGGCGGCGGCCCCGCCGCTGGCGTTCAGCGCCGAAGCAGGACAGCAAGGGGTCGAAGTAGAAAATGCGTTACAAGATTTCTAGGATTCCCCAAAACTTCCTGATGTTCCACGGGGGCTGCAGAGGCGGTGGCCGCTGGACGATCTGGAGATGCAGGGGCGCATCCTGAGCCAGTCCTCTCATGACACCATGTCGCCCTGCACACAGAGGGTTCGCGTCGTGTCGACTGGCGGCGACCCCGCCGCCAGCGTTCAACGTTCGCGCGCCGCTGGGCGACCCTGCGTGCGTCGCCCCTCAATGGGGCGACGATTGTGCTCCCGGTGGCGGGCGCAAGCTGGCCGTACCGCCGGGGTGGCGAGATGCAGAGGCACTGTCGTGCTGTATGATTTGGTCGGACGCACTCCTCCGAGGACGACACGTCATAGTAAGAGTGCGTGTGGTTCTGCGCCCTTTATATCACATATTCACATATCTATATGACTCTGGCTCCTCGGAGATCTTACACGATTCAACAAGGCCCAGCGGGCTGCTCAGGCCCTGGTTGACCAATCCCGTGCACCGTTCTGGGATCGTGTGGTCTGGTGTGGAGTGCGCTTCTGGGTGCGAGGGGTCTTTATACATTTCTGTATCGATGCTTGTCTATATATATATCTATATAGACGCATGCATGCTTGTATGTATGTAAACATGAATGTATGTACGTACGTACGTACGTACACACGCACGTATGTATGCATGTATGTAGGTATGCGCACATGCATGCATGCATGCATTAATGCATGCATATATGTATGGATGAGCGCATGTGTAGGCATGCAACTATGTATGTTTGTGTGCATGTATGTATATATGTATGGTTGCATGCATGTATACATATATGCATGTATGCATGTTTGCATATATGCAGCTATGAATGTATGCACGCATGCATGTATACATGCATGCATGTATGGATGTATGGCTGTATGTATGTATGTATGTATGCATGCATGTATGTATGTATGTACGTGTGCAGGTCTGTATATATTTATGTATGCATGCATGTATGTATGTATGTATGTATGTATGTATGTATGTATGTATGTATGTATGCCTATATGTGCATGTGTGTATGTGTGTATTGTGCATGCATGCATGCATGCATGCATGCATGTGTGTATGTAAGTGTATGTATGTATATGCATATATGTATGCATGCATGTATGTATGTATGTGTGTATTTATGATGTATGCATGCATGTATATCTGTCTGTCTGTCTGTATGTATGTATGCATGCATGTATCTATGGAAGCATGTATGAATGTATGTATGTATGTGTGTGTATGTACGTAGGTAGGTAGGTAGGTAGGCAGGCATGCATGCATGCATGCATGCTTGCATGCATTCATGTATGTATGTATGCATGCATGCATGCATGTATGTATGTATGTTGAAAGAGCGCGTTCTGTGGTCGCTTGGAGGAGGGGGGCGGTTGGAACCGGACCCCCCCCCTCCCCCTCCCCTTCCTCCCTCGCCTCTCTCCTCGGGCCGGCGCCTGCGTCGGCGGGCGGCTGGCGGCCGCGGTGTCGGGGGCGACGATTTCCTTTTTTGGGCCAGCGCCGGCGCCTGCGGCGGCGGGCGGCGGCGGCGGGGAGCGTCGACGAGGGCGGCGGTGGTGGTGGTGGTGGTGGTGGGTTGTGGTGGTGGTGGTGGCGGTGGTGGTGATTGTGGTGGTGGTGGTGTGGTGGTTTGTGGTGGTGGTAGTGGTGGCGGAGTGTGTGGTGGTGGGGTGGTGGTGGTGTGGTGGTGGTGATGGTGGTGGTGTGTGGTGGTGGTTTGTGGTGATGGTGTGGTTGGTTGTGGTGGTGGCGGTGGTGGTTTGGTGGTGGGGTGGTGGTGGTTGGTTTGTGATGGTGGTGTGGTGGTGGTTGTGTGGTGGCGGTGGTTTGGTGGAGGGTGGCGGTGGTGGTGGTGTGTGGGTTGTGGTGGTGGTGGTGGTGTGGTGGTTTGTGGTGGTGGTGGTGGTGGGTTGTGCTGCTGGTAGTGGTGGTGGTTGTGGCGGTGATGGTGGTGGCGTGGTAGATAGTGGTGGCGGTGGTGGTGGGAGTGGTGGTGGGATTTTGTGGTAGTGGTGGTGATGGTGAGTTGTGGTGGTGGTGATTGTGGTGGTGGTGGCTGTGGTGGTTGTGGTTGTGTGGTGGGTTGGTGGTGGTGGTGGTGGTGGTGCGTTGAGGCGGTGGTGGTGGTTGTAGTGGTGGTGGTGGTAATGGTGGTTATCGTCGCTGCGTCCCCGCCGTCCCTGCGCCAGCGCTGGCGCTGGTGGCCGCCGCCAGCGCTGGCGCCTGCGCCAATGGGGGGGGAGGCGGGTTGAACGCCCCCCCCTTGGGCTGCCTCTGGTCATCGGTTGCGTCCCCGCCGTCGGCGCTGCTGGCGGTCGCCGGCGCCGGCGCAGGGAGGGGGGGGGGTTTGAACTCCCCCCCTTTGGGAGGGGGGGGGGGTTCGGGAGCGCGCCGAGTGTTGGGGGGGGCCACCCGCCGGCTCGAAACGCGCCGCCGAATGTTCCCAAGGCAAGCGCCTGTAAAACGCGCTCTCGCGTATGAATGTATGTGTGTACGTATGTATGTATTTATGTATGCATGTATGTAGATAGGTACGTACGTATGTATGTATGTATGTATGTAAGTATGTAAGTATGTATGTATGTGTGTATGTATGTATGTGTGTATGCATGTTGGTATGCGTGTATGAAAGATACATGTTTGTGAGTATGTATGTATGTATGTATGTACGTCTGTCTATATGTATGTAGTTATGCATGCATGTATGTATGCATGTGTGCCTGCGTACATGTATGCATGCATGCATGTTAGTAAACATGTATGAGCACATACACGACCATACATGTATACATGTATTTATGCATGCGTGTGAGTAGTGTAGGTATAGATGTGTGTAAGTTTGCATGTAACTGTGCGTGTATGTGTGTATGTGTGTATGTATGTATGCATGTATGTATGTATGTCCGTATGTGTGTATGTATGCCTGCATATATGCACGTGTTCATGCATGTTTGTTTGTATGTATGTATGGTTGCGTGTGAGTATGTGTGTTAGAATGTGTGCATGTATGTACGTATGCGTGCAAGTATGTATACACGTATGTATTTGTGTGTGCATATATGATTGTAAATGTGTATGGATACATGTGTGAATGTATGCATGCATGCATAGTTGTACATATGTATGTATGTATACATGCATGTATATATGTATGTATGTATGTATGTATGCATTCATGTATGTATGCATGCATGTATGTATGTACGTATGCATGTATGTATGTATGTATGTGTGTATGTAGTTATGTATGCATGTATGCATGCGTGCATGCATGTATGCATGTATGTATGTATGCATGTGTGTATGTATGGATGTTTGCATGCATGCATGCATGTATGTATACATAGGTGAATTTATGTTTGTATGTATGTATGTGTGTATGTATGCAAGTAAGTATGTATGTATGTGTGTGTTTATATATAGGTATAAGTATATGTATTTGTATATGTATATGTACAGGTGTATGTATATGCTCATGTACACGTGTCTGTATGTGTTTAACTATTTATATATGTATATGTATATGTCTGTGTGTATGTATTTACGTACGTACGTACGTACATACGCACGTACGTATACTGGCAGGTGGGTAGATATGTATGTAGGTAGGTCGATTGGTATGTCTGTATGTGTGTATGTGTGTATGTATGTATGTAGGCAGGTAGGTAGGTAGGTAGGTAGGTAGGTAGATAGGTATACATGCATGTGTGTATGTATGTATGTATGTATGCATGTACGTACGTACGTACGTACGTACGTATGTATGTATGTATGTATGTATGTATGTATGTATGTGTGTATGTGTGTATGTATGTATGTATGTATGTATGTATGTATGTATGTATGTATGTATGTATGTATGTATGTATGTATGTATGTATGTATGTATTCATGTATATTTGCATACATGGAATCTGTGTATGTAGATGAATGGAGGCAGGGCACCCTCTTCTCGGCCACCCCCCCAGCGCCCTCCCCGGGCCCCGAGAGGCCGCCAGTGACACGACTCGGGAGGCAGGAGCTGGACCCGCCTCCCCGGGCCCCGCCTTTCCCCTCCAGACCTCCTCCCCGGGCCCCGCTTTTCCCCGGGCCCCGCCCTTCCCAGGGCCCCCCCTCTCCCCCAGACCTCCTCCCAAGCGCGGCGAAAGTCCCTGACCCCCCGCCGCCCCCCCCCCCCCCGCGGGGGTCACGTCCGCGTGGCCCCCGGGGGGCCCCAGGAATGCCCACCCCCTCCCCCCTCGGAGGCCGAGGCCGAGGATCGGCGGCGAGCGGGGGCGGGGGGGCGTTCCTCCGAGACCTCCCTCCTCCTCCTCCTCCTCCTCCTACCTTCTCCTCCGGCCTACTTCCTGCCCCCTCCTCTCCTCCTCCTCCTCCTCCTCCTACTCCACATCCTCCTCCTCCCTCCTCCTCCTCCCCTCCTTTCTCTCTCGTCCTCCTCCTCCTCCCTCCTCTCTCCCTCCTACGCTGCGCTCCTCCCTCCTCTCTCCTCCTCCCTCCTCTCTCCTCCCTCCTCCCTCCTCCTCCTCCTCCTCCTCCTCGTCGTCGTCGTCCTCCTCCTCCTCCTCCGTCTTGGGGGGAAGGGAGAAGGAGAAGGCCCTCCCAGGGGGACTTCTCGGAAGCCCTAGCGCCTCCTGGGCAGTTTTTTTGGCGCGTCTTCGGGAGAGGCTTAGAAGGAACACTTTTCAGGAGGCAGGGGAACTCTCGAGCTTTCTGAGAAGGCCTCCTCCTTCTCACTTCCCCCCCTCGCTCCCCGCCGAAGTCCGGATGGCCCAGGGGCCCAGGAGCGCTACCCCTCGGAGGCCGAGGCCGAGGAGAGTATAGCGCCGGGAGTGCAGCAGGCACACCGTCGGAGACCCCCATGGCGGCCGCTCCGGTCTTCCTGTCAGCGCGTGGGCCTCGGAGGCCTGGACTTCTTTTAGGTCGGGCCTGTCCCCCTACAGTGGAATTTTCGACGAAAAAAGAAATACCCCCAAAATAAATAAAAAATGGTTCAAAAATAGTCTGGGGACTATTTTTTGTGTATTTTTACACCTCTTCTGAGCATTTTTAGCGTATTCAGAATTTTTCTTAGAAAATACCCCTGTAGGGGGACACGCCCGACATAAGACTACTTTCCTGGGGCCCGTTTCTGTTCGTCCCGAGTCGTTTGGTTGACAGTCCCGAGGTCTGGCGAGAGGGCCCCCCGAAGAGGAAAGCGGCAGACGGCCTGCCGCCCAAGTCTTCCATTGGGGCGCCGCACCTCTGGGGCCCGGGTCTCTTACCCCGCTCCATCCCCCAATTCCTCCATCATCTGTCCCTTCCTTCTCCTCCTGCTCCTCCTCCTCCTCCTCCCTCCTCCTCTTCCTCCCTCCTTCTTCCCTCCTCCTCCTCCCCCTCTTCCTCCTCCCCCTCCTCCTCCTCCTCCTCCTCCTCCTCCCCCCCTCCTCCTTCACTGCTCCTCCTCCTCCACCACCTTCCTCCTCCTCGCTCCTACCATCCAGCCTCCCTCCACCCTCCTCCTTCAGTCTCCTCTCTCCTCGTCCTCGCCCTCGCTCCTCCTTCCTCCTCCTCTCCCACCCCCTACCCCTCCTCCCCTCCTCCTCCTCCTCCTCCACCTCCTACCTCGCTCCTCGCTCCTCCTCCTCCTCCTCCTCCTCCTCCTCGGCGGCAGGTGCGCGGGAGACTGCGCTGCGTCGGCACGCCGGACCACATCAAGAGCACCTACGGGGCGGGCTACCAGCTGGAGCTGCTGGTCGGCGGGGGCCTCGCCGGGTCGGGGCCGGCGCCGGAGGTGGAGCGCTTCGTCGCGGGTCTGTGCCCCGCCGCGCGGCTGCTGGAGCACCACGAGGGCAGGTATTCTGAGGGGCAACAGTCGGCAGGTGAGCCTCCTCCCTCCTCCCTCCTCCCTCCTCCTCCCATCCTCCCATTCTCCTCCTCCTCCTCCTTCCTCCTCCTCCTCCTCCTCCTCCACCTCCTCCCCTCCTCCTCCTCCTCCTCTCTCCTCCTCCTCCTTCCCCTCCCCCCCTCCTCCTCCTGCCTCCTCCTCCTCCCTACCTCCTCCTCCTCCCTGCCTCCTCCCTCCTTCCTCCTTCCTCCTCCTCCTCCACCTCCTCCTCCTCCTCCTCCCTCCTTCCCTGATCCCGTACCTCCCTCCCTCCCTCCTCCCTCCTCCTCATCCTCCTCCTCCTCCTCCGCCCTCCTCCTCCCCTCCTACCTCCCCTCCTCCTCCTCCTCCTCCCTCCTCCTCCTAGCTCCTCCTCCTCTTCCCTCCTCCCTCCTCCCTCATCCTCCTCCTCCTCCGTCTGCGGGTGGGAAAGGCAGAAGGAGAAGGCCTTCTCAGAAGGCTCGGAAGTTCCCCGGCCTTCTGAAAAGCTTGGCAAGCCTTCCCGACGACGCAGACAATTGCCCAGGAGGCGCGAGGGCTTCTGAGGAGTTCCGCCGCCCTCTGAGAAGGCCTTCTTCTTCTCGTTTCCCCCCCTCGCTCGCCGCCCAAAGAGGTTACGGTTCTAGGCCTACTGCAGCCTCGGAAAAAGGTTTTCTCCGAACGCCGCCACACATGCCCATGTCGATTCACAGCGTGTTGGGGATGTGCACACCCATGCCGCCCGCCTTTCGGCGCGACAGGGTATGCACCTCACAGTCCCCAAGCGTCAACGTCCCGAGCCTTTCCCCGCCTCCCGGCCCGTGGAGCGGAGCAACCCACTGTCCGCTCGCGGGGCATGGCGTGTCGCCGGGGTCGCCGCCGCGAAACGCTAAGCGAGAGATCCCGACCGTACGTTCCAAGCGTTCCAAGATTCCAAGGACTCCCCAGATTCCCGCATCTCTGTCCTGCACGGGCTGCAGAAACGAGGGCCGCCAGAGATGCCGGAAATCCCCGAGCGCGATTATCCTGAGCCAGTCCTGTCGTGGCATCATTATCCGTAAGGGCTTCGCCCCCTGCCGCCGGCCCACTCCCTCGGAGAATGGGCCATGGAAGAGCTAAGTCATGAGGTCTTGGCGCTGTCGTGAAGCAGTATCGAAACTTCATGCGAAGCCGATTCGCAATCAGCAAAACCAACTGATCACAAGAGGGGTTACCACCCCTGGCGATTGGTAAGACGTGTATGGTTTACTGGCTTGGTTGCCACACCTTGCGATTAAAGGGCCGAGGGAGTTCTCGCAGTTTGGGTTACCACGCCTTGCGATGGATGTGCGTGAAGAGTGGCACCGAATTTTAGAAATGTGGCAAATCCCATGTGTTTTTGGACCCTGACCCCGCGGATCTGCGTAAGGGGTAGCGCCGAATTTCAGAAATGTAGCGAATCCCCTGTGTTTTTGGACCCTGACCCCGCGGATCTGCGTGAGGGGTGGCACAGAATTTCAGAAATGTGGCAAATCCCATGTGTTTTTGGACCCTGACCCCGCGGATCTGCGTGAGGGGTGGCACCGAATTTCAGAAATGAACCCCGCGGATCTGCGTGAGGGTGGCACCGAATTTCGAAATGTGGCAAATCCCGTTGTTTTTGACCCTGACCCCGCAATCTGGTGAGGGGTGGTTCCGAATTTCAAAATGTGGCAAATCCCGTGTTTTTTGGACCCTGACCCCGCGGATCTGCGTGAGGGGTGGCACCGAATTTCAGAAATGTGGCAAATCCCATGTGTTTTTCGGACCCTGACCCCGCGGATCTGCGTGAGGGGTGGCACCGAATTTCAGAAATGTGGCAAATCCCATGTGTTTTTGGACCCTGACCCCGCGGATCTGCGTGAGGGGTGTCGATTTCGAGCCCCCCCAGCAATTCAGACAACGCGCCCAGGTGAGGCTAAAAATCCTGTTTGGGCCTCCCCCCCCCTCGCGCGGTCAATCAACTAGTTACAGTAGCCAGCAATCAGTCAACTAGTTACAGTAACCAGCAAGAAGCAGAATTGCAACACTGGAAACTACAAGCTACAACTGGTACAGGAAACTGCGAATCCCGCGCCTCGCAGCCTGGCGGCCCCACAAGGGGGCCGGCGGATACCGTCCTAGGTACCTGTTCCAGCTGCCCCTGCTGAAGGCCGTCGGCGTTTGCCCGGGGGAGCTCAGCGTCGCGCGGCTCTTCCTCCACATGCAGGGGGCCCCCGGCGCCATCGGGCTCCAGGACTACTCCATCTCCAGGCCCAGCCTGGAGCAGGCCCCGCGGGCAGAGGAAACACCCATCCGTGCCCGCGGCCTCGCGGTCGCCCCCTCGGCCGCGCCGCGCGTGACCCCCGGGGCGGCTCTGTGAGGGCGCCCCTCGCAGAGCGCAGTCCGTGGCCAGGCAGGCTCGGGATGCGGGCACACCGCTCCAGGGCCTCCTCGGACGCCCTGGGAGCGCTCCGCGTCGCACGGAGGGGAAGGCCGCGGCGCCCGAGGCGCGCTCCGGACCTGCTGGCTCTCGGAGAAAACCCTGCTTCACGCACGCCTGGCTGGCTGCTCGCCTTGCCCCTTCGCCTTACACGGGGCCGAGGAGGAGGAGGAGGAGGAGGAGGAGGAGGAGGAGGAGGAGGAGGAGGAGGAGGAGGAGGAGGAGGAGGAGAAGGAGGAGGAGAGGGTGGGAGGAGTAGTGTAAGGTTGTAAGGAGGAGGAGGAGGAGGAGGAGGGGGGAGGAGGAGGGGGGAGGAAGGAGGACGCCTCGGCAGCCAGACCGCGAGGACACGGATCTGTGGATGCGGGCGGGAGCTTCTGCTGCGCGTGTCGCTGCGCCGGCTCTGCCCCCCCGCGCTCCGGCGCGGCACGCCAAGCACGTCCTATGGTTCGCGAGCGTCCACGTCCCGAGCTCTCTCCCGCCGCGCGTCGGCGCGGCATGCCGACCACGTCCTGGCTCTCGAGCGTCAGCGTCCCGAGCTCGTCCCAGCCTCTCCCGCCGTGCGGAGCGGCGCGCGGCACGCTCCCAGCTCTTTGCGTGCCGCGGCGTGCCGCAGCGGGCCCGCCGCTGCGACACGCGGAGCAACGGATCCGGACCGCGAGTCCAGGCCCCCTAGAGGGGGTCGGAGGAGGAGATGGGGGGTCGGAGGCTCGCGCCGCATCGCCGACGCCTCCGCGGTGCGGCTCGCTGTGGGTCCCGACTTTCTCCGCCGCGAGGCGCCGCCGATGCCGAGACCGACGTCGCAGGCGGCAGCGCCTAGCTCCTCGCCGACGCCTCGGCGAGGCATCGGCGATGCGGCGTGGCCCTCGGACCCCCCATCTGCTCTGAAGTCGGGCCTGTTCCTCTACAGGAGGAGTGCTCAAGACTATTCCAAAAATAGCCGGGGGAGGATAAGTCGTCTCTGTCTGACTATTTTTGAATGTTTTTACTTGTTCGTCCACAGTCACCTTTGTATCGGGGGTGGACAGAACCCCCAACAGTGACACGTCGATTAGTGAATTGTCCGGTTCTCGAGAAGGCGCCGTGGCCGTTATTTTCCAGGCTTGCGCCCGCCAGGTTTGGGCCTCAGGTCGTTTTCACTAACCCACGTTTTACTAAAGGGGGGTCTGTCCATCCCCGATTGTAGGGGGGACATGCCCGACCTATATCTACTCGGACCCCTTCCAGCGGGCCTCTGGTAAGCCCTCCGCCCGTGGAGGTCTTCCTGCGGTTCAGCAGGGAGCAGGAGGAGGCCGAGGCCGAGGCCGCCGCCTCCCCGAGGGCGTGAGCGCGCACGCCTGGGGGCACCAAGCGCCCCCCCGGCCCCGACAGCGCGAGGAAGGCGTGGCCCTCGCGGAGGCCCCCGTCTTCGCATCGGGGATCACAGCTCTGGGCGGTTTGGTTCGATGCACCTGCCGAACAAACAAGCGGGCCCCCTAGCCCTGGCCCTCCTCGCTCCCTGACCTTCCAGGAGGGCTGAAAAATACCACCAGGACGTCGACGTCCTGATTCCTGTCGAGGTTTGAGGCAGTCCAGATAGATCTATAGGTCTGGAGTGCTATTTTTTAGCGCTCTGGAAGGTCAGGGCTGAGCTCCTCTCCAAGCAGGTTGGGTTTTTTTTTGTTGGTCCGTCATGCGTTGCCGGCCAGGGGGCGCGCGCGGCCGCTTCTGCCGGTGGCATCTACAGGGGCCCATACCTCCCCAGACGCCCGACGGTCTGCAGACCTCAGGCCCCGTCGCGTCGTGGAGAGAAACCACCACGGGAATTCCGCTGTTTCCGGCCCCGGGGGGCCCTTCCTACTGGGCCTCGGGGCCGTTCAAACAAAACTCATTACCAGCCTGGAACATATCCCTATCCCTATGCTGGGCACCTCCTCATCACGATGCCAATCTTAGGGATTCCCTTATTTTTGAGGGCGAATCCCTAAGATTGTCATCGCCTTTTGGCGTGTCGATCTTAGGGATAGGGATACGTTCGAGGCTGGTAAACTTAGGATGGACAGCTGGTCCCAGGGAATGGGTCGAGATCTCCCGGGGCCCACACTCTGTGAAGAACTCACGACGGCGGGAGCTTGGGGTGTGAGTTTTCGATACATCCCGGCGTCTTTCCCTGGGGTGCAGCTGCCGGCCCAGGGGGGCATCAAGACTGGGCCCCGGACGAACCACTGCACCCACTTGGCATCGCTCGGACGTGTGCATTTTTCCGTCGGCGAGGGCCATCGAGGAGCATCCTTGATCATTTGGCGAAAAAGCCACGCACGAAACCGAACAAAAACACAGAGAATGGACGTCCGAGCGATGGCCGGACCCAGGGACGGAGTCCGGGCCCTCCAGGCGGTCGCAGAGCGAACGCAGCTCACATCGTCGGCCGTCTGGGCCAGCCGCCTCGAGGCCCGGGCCGGTGCCACCGAGGGCGCCGGCCTGGTACAGCGTGGCGCGGGGCCCGCGGCGTCTTCCGCGCCGCCCGCCTCTCCTCTCTCCCCGCTTCGCTTCTAGGTTGCCCGCGTGGGGCCAGAGCGGGCGGGGCTGGGCGACCGCGCCGCACCGCCGATGCCTCGGCGCTGCGGCGCGATCCAGAGTCCGAGCCTCTCCGTGCGACGCCGCCAGTGCAGCAGCGGTGCAGCCGCAGCAGAGTGCGATCTTCCTCCGGCCCCGCCTGCTCTGGCCCGATTCGGGAGGCGTGCGACCTCCTCCTCCTCCTCCTCCTCCTCCTCGTTCTCCTCCTCCTCCTCCTCCTCCTCCACCTCCTCCTCCTCCTACTCCTCCTCCTCGTTCTCCTCCTCTTGGGCGCTGGGCGCTGGCGGCATGAGTGCCACAGTGAAGGGCGCTGCCATTTCCCCCCGCCCCCCCCCCCCCCCTGCAGCTGTTGCCGCTAGGGGTGGCCGATCAAGCGTTGGTTGGGGGGGGCTGTCCTCCGTCCGTAGTTTCCGTTTTTTCGTCCCGTCTCCTCCTCTACCTCCTCCTCCTCCTCCTCCGCCTCCTCCTCCTCCTCCTCCACCTCCTCCTCCCCCTCCTCCTCCTCCTCCTCCTCCTCCTCCTCCCTCCTCCTCCTCCTCTTACTCCTCTCTTCCTCACTTCCCCGCCCCGCCTCCTCCTCAACCTCCTCCTCCTCCTCCACCTCCACGTCCTCCTCCTCCTCCCCTTCCCCTCCTCCTCCACCTCCCGTCCCTCCTCCTCTCCCCTCCTCCTCCTCCACTTTCCCTCATCCACCTCCGTCTCCACATCGTCCTCCTCCTCCTCCTCCTCCTCCTCCTCCTCCTCCTCCTCCTCCTCCACCTCACTTCCCCGCGCTCACAAGAATCGCGGGGGCTGAATTCGGCCAGGAAGCGCCTCTTACAGCGCACGCGTAGGAGAGGCGCGGTTCTGCTTCGCAGAGCCCGCACGCGGTGCGGGGGCACGGGCACGTCAGTTTGACAGCCGAGGCGTGCGCCACGCGCAGACGAGGCCACACCAGCCTCGGGCAGGACCCAATCCTGTGCGGCCGTGTGCAGCGAGCGCATGCGGGAGTCCCCGTCTTCTTGTGTTGAGCGCCGCGGGAGGGAGGGAGGGCGGGAGTGGGTTGAGGCTCCCTTTTAACTAGTCACAGTCGTGCGAGGGGTGTGCCGAGGTGGGGCAAGGTGACGCCGTGGGGCGTGGCCACTGTGGGCGCTATTAGATTGAGTTTCCTTCGGGGCACGATCCATGCAATGGGTGTGTCGAAGTGGGCGAGGTGAGGCCATCGGAGCGATGTCATTGTGAGGGGTGTGCTGAAGTGGGCGAGATGATGCCAAAGGGACGTTACCATTGGAGCCGCAGATGGATCTCCCTGTGGGTTCTCGCCCCGTGCAAAGGAAGTGCTAAAAAGTGGACGAGGTGATGCTATATGGACTTTGCCATCGGAGCTGTAGAGGGATCTTCCCAGGGGGCTCGACCTGTGTGCGGGGGGGGGGGGGCGCGGGAGAAGGCCGACAAGGACTCGCGCAAGCAGCGACCAGCAGCGCAGCATCAGCACCAGCAGCAGCGGCGGCAGCAGCAGCAGGCAGGCGGCAGCGGAGCAGCAGCACCCGCTGCAGGAGGGATGGGGGGGGGGCACGAGCGCAAGCAGGCGGGCAGAGCACGCGGCCCCCAACTCCACACGGAGGGCCGGGAAGGCCAGAGAGCATACCCGAAGCCGCTCGCGATGCCTCTCGCCACGCGCCGCCAGTGTGTTTCCCCGACGGGAAGTAAACAAGAGAGGCTGAAAGCATAACAAGCTGCACAGCATCAACACTCGAGCTATCCAACGCTTTCACACAAGACAAACAGATACGTACACACAACTACACAACACAGGCAGGGGTCGGAGGTCGGGGCGGCCATCTTTGGTCGGCGGTGGACCCGCCTCCACAGCGCGCGTAGGGCGCCAGGCGCGGCGCCAGGTGCGCCGCCCGGCGGGGGGGCTGCTCTCGGCCAGCCCGATCCGATTCGAGATCGAGTTCTGCCAGCACGGTCCGATGCGATTCGATTCGGACTCCGTGTCGGCGAGGCCCGATCCGACGCGCGTTCTGATCCGATCCGACTTCCGGATTCGATGTGGACTGAGCGGCTGGGTTCTAAGGAGGTGTGGGAAGATGGAAGGAGATTCCTGGGAGGCTGCTGTCAGCCACCATGCAGCGAAGAGGGGGATGGGAAAAAGACGTGTGGCAGTAGTAGTAGTAGTAGTAGTAGTAGTAGTAGTAGTAGTAGTAGTAGTAGTAGTAGTAGTAGTAGTAGTAGCTGAGTGGGCCGTGGAAACGACAGGGCCGTTTTTTAACAAGTTCCGTTTTGTCGTTTTTGTTGCCGGTTCCGACGCTGTTTTTTACCGGTTCCGTCGCCGCTCTCTTACGGGTTCCCGCTCAGGTTCCATTCTTGGGGCCGTTTTTGTTGCCGTTTCCGGTCGCCGTCTTGTTGCCGTTTCCATTTTCAAGGGACATTTTTCGGAAACGGTGAAAAAACGGCCCTGTCGTTTCCAGGGCCCACTAAGAATACGAGTAGTAGTAGTCGTAGTAGTAGTAGTAGTAGTAGTAGTAGTAGTAGTAGTAGTAGTAGTAGTAGTAGTAGTAGTAGTAGTAGTAGTAGTAGTAGCAGTAAGTAGTAGTAGCAGTAAGTAGTAGTAGGAGTAGTAGTAGTAGTAGTAGTAGTAGTAGTAGTAGTAGT